TTATTTAAAAGTCTTGATTTTTCTCTATTAAAATAACAATCTTTTGTTAAAATCAAATCTGTTTTACATGAAGAATGAACATACCCTAGATACATATAACTTATTGATTGAAGAATTTTTATCTTTTGTTTTTTAACAAGTCTAGCATTAAATAATTTTGAAATGTCTTTAACGTATTTAAACATTATAAATTTTCTTATTCTTTTATGTGAAAAATTTTTACTATTTTTTAAATTTTTGTTTATACTATTAACAATTTTATCACATTCATTATTTTTCCCTTCTTTAGTAAAAGAATTAATACGAGAAAGAAAATTTTCGTTAATTAAATCAATAAATTCTTCTTTTGTATTTTTGAAATTATCAATATCATCATTGTTTATAATAATAACTACATCTTCTAATTTTAAAAAATAGAAATAAAACTTATTGTATTTGTTTAACAAATCTATGAGTAGATTAATAATTTCTATATTTTCTCGTTTATAATCTTTATAATCTTGATATGTTAAAATATGAACAAATCTTAATAAAAAACATTCAAAATAGCTCAATTTGTTAGAATCATTTTGATCTGCGTTAAAAACTAAATTAGCAATTTTTATTAATTCGGAATTATTAAAAGCTTTTGTTTTTAATATTTTGTAAAATTCAAATGTCAATGTTGGATATGAAAAATCATTTCTCTGTATAATTTTACAAATATTGTCTTTATATTGTTCTTCAATATCATTTAAAACTATATTTACTGAAGAAAAAGATTCACCAAATTTTTTTGGTAACTCAACAAAAAAATTAAATGTTTCTTCTGTTATATGAGAATATTGAATGATATTTTGTGTGCTTCTTGGTTTTTCTAATGTTTTAAATTGTGTTTGTTCACCGAATTCTATTATTTCATCTAATTTTTCTGTTTGCACAAATTCTTCAATTGTTTTAAATACCATTATTTTTTCTATTTCATCCAGATTAATTAATTTTTCCAAATCTTCAAATTCTATTGTTTCTTCTAATTCTCTTGGTATAATTTCTTCATCCATTTTACTTATTTCTTCAGTTTTCTGTCTTTTTACTGGAGGTTCCTCATCACTATCTGATTTAGCTATTTGTATTCTTTTTTCTGGAAAAGGTTGATTGCTAGATTCACTTTCTTCTTGTTTAGAATTTATATTTAATTTATCAAACAATTCAAAAAATACTTCATCACTGCTATTGTTAAATTTTATGAACAATAAATTCCAAATCATTAAAAACGGTAGTTTATTTTTTAAAAAATAATTAAAAACATCATTTTTAATTTTTAAACTTAAAAACAAAAAATTTTAAATGTTTTTTAATCAATTTTATAAAAATTATATTTTTAAATAACTAAAGTAAGTTGCGTATTTAATTAAATTATTAAATAGACGAGTAAAGCTTAAGAAAATTGTTGCTAATGTCAAACATTCTTCGTTTACCTAGATTTCCTTTTTATATTATTAAAGAGGCAAGTTCAATAACTGCAATAGGTGTCAATTTATAGGTTGATGGTAAACATTCTCCGCTTTTATAAAAGGTTAAATTTCACTATAAATATACCTTATGAAACATTTACCATATTTAATTATGATATAATGAAATATAAAATCGTTTTCTAAACAGTAATCAAACTCAAATGATAAATATATTACTTGTTAGAATTTTTATTAATAAAACATATTTTTCGCTAGTGAATTTAAAGAATTTTCGTTTTTCATTTACCTTTTTTAGATAAAAAAATTTTAAAATTTAATTTTGCATCAGATGATTATAATAGTTGTTTTGTATCTCATATATCTGAGGGTACAAATTTAGATTTTTAAAAGGTAAGTTGTATAGATAAGTAATCAATAACAATGTAAAAAAGATTGTTATACAAGCCATATAGCCTTATCAATTTTTTTTAAACACTTTAGACTATTTATAATTTCCTAGAATGGTTTTTTTATAAAGATATTGACTCATTGGTTAAAAATTAATATTTTAATAATCAATATCATATTAATGTAATAACACAGTGAATCTTTTTGATATGAACCGAGTACCGTTATCAGTAACAATTTTCAAGGTTTAGTTAATAAAAAGTCATTTTTTTTTCAAAAACGTTTTACTTTATCAGTACAAGCGTTTAAATAGAAGAAGCAACAAATAACATGTTAGTGATCTAGAATATGAGAAAGACTGTTTTATTTCTTTTTTAAAAATATAAAACTTATTTAATTTAAGCTTAATAAATTTAAATTGTTATTTATACACGGTTCATAATTTAATAAACTAAAATCAAACTTTCCTTTCTTATTTATAAAACAACTTTAGAATGATGATGTGAAGTTTAAAATTTTTTCTTCGTTTTTTTGAAGAAATAAAATTTTTATTATATTATAAATCTCTATGAATCAGGATAAGACAATTTTTAATGAAACTGTTCATTAATCAAAGGATTGTTCTCTACTCTTTCTTATTAGAAAAAAACTATATTCTATAAGATCAAGTCACCTACAGTATTAGCTGAATCTTCTAAAATATTTAAAATTATATTATTTGAAAAGCATTCTAAAAGTTATATTTGAAAGAGTTTAGACCATGTAAACTTTTGTAATTAATATATATCTATTTAAAATTAAATATTGTGATTTTAAAATATTTTAAATCAAGATAGGCTGTTAAACATCTTTTTGTTGCTATATAATTTTATGGAGATTAGTTTAATATTTTGCTAAACACATTTATGAGCTCTGAGTTTCTTACCAACATAGTTTTCGCGCTTTTATCTCTAATATCAGCATATATATAAAACTATTGTTTAACACCTAGGTAGTAAAACATGTTTGCACTTTTAATTCATCAAATATTTATTTTATGATAATATTAAAATATTCTTTCAATTAGAATTCGTAATTTTTCATGTTTAAATTGTTATTTAAGCATGTTTAGCAGATAAATTTGTAATAAATTCATTAACCTAAGTGATCAAACACATAATTATCAGTAATTACTTCCTACTAAATGAAGGATTAGAATAAACTTTTTTAAAAATTTTATTGTTACAGATTTACGCCCTCAAAGGTAAAAATAAAAACCTGATATTAAATTTTATAATCAAATCATTACCATTTGTTAAAACTTATAGATATTTTTTATACTCAAAGTATATCAAGTACTTCTTTTACATAACCAATATGTAAATTAAAAGATTAAAATAATATTAAAATATCAACTGGGTACAATTGATTAAAAAAAAGATTTTTAACCAAGTAATTCGTAGCTTTTTAAAAGGTTAATTTTGTATATTTTTATCTAAAAGATAGTTTTATAAATTCATAAACACAAAGGATATAATAAATACTGTTTTATGAGTATCACTTGGATTGAATATAATTTGTAAATGTTCTGAATTTTTAATTAATTTTCGATAAAAACTTTTTTCTTTTTAAGGAAAAATTTTGATCTGACATAAGAGGCAAGAGATAAAAAGATTTATTATGAAAAAATTTAACCTACGATAATCAATTACCGGTCTTAAATCTTCATCCTTTTTGAATTAAGTAGTAGAAATTAGTTGAAAGTGTACTTTTTAGAAAATATTTTAATCTAAAAATAAAGATTTTTATTTTTACATTTATTCATTAGCGATATAAGAACACCACAAGGTTTAGTATTCAAGTTAACACTAGACATCAACTTGATTTTATACATTAAGTTTTCAATTTTATTAAACTTCTGCAACGACTTTAGATATTTTCTACATAGAAGATCAATTTTTTATCATTTTTAAATCTAAAAATTTAATTTTTGGCTAACCGAAGATCTTGTAATGATAAGCTCAGAGATGAGTAGTTAAACAGAAAAGATCGATTTTTATAAATAATTAAATCCTAGTAAATAAAAATAACAATAACAATATAACTTTCGGATCAAATCCCTTTTTTTCCCTAAACAAAAACAAAAAATAAAATAATAAAAATCAAATCTATTTAAATCTTAATATTATTATAATTTTTCAAAGTTCTTATTAAACCTAATATTATTTTTCCAAACTAGTACTTTAAGATAAAATTATCTTTTGATGCTACAATACCTTTGTGTATTTTTAGAACATACTTGCATTTATTTCCTGCACTTTCAATGTTCTGAGTGTGAACAAAAATTTGGCGATTCACAAAGATTTCAGTGTGATAAATAGTTAAATGCGAAAATCGCAAATTACCATTACCAATGAATATATAAATACGCCATTCATTAGAGTGTATTACAATCCCAGGTAAACAAACTTTCTCATTTATTGGTAAAAACATGGAGGCAGTTCTATTGGGAACAACATGTAATAAGATTTTAGCTGAGGTAAATGACAGATCTGCCAAACCAAATACCCACACCCCCTTTTTTTGGTTGTCTACCTTGATGGTATCTCTGTTTATGTCCAAATGAAATCTCATCTATTTAGAACTCATAACACATCACTATAGCGAGTAGATTTTTAGTCTTATATTTAAAACATTGATTACGAAGTAAATCATTAATTTTAATAATTGACTTTTTCCCAATATTTACCTCAACGCCTATTTGTACGTGAGTATGTTTATAAAACCATTTACAAACACTAATAATATGCTTCTCAGAGGTATATTAAACCTGATAGTAGTGACTTGGTACATATTGAAACATATTTATGAACCGTGAGAATTTCTATTACAACATCTAAACGCCACACCATCACTATTTCTAGTATATGCTTTCGTTTATTTGTCTAGAAGACATGTTCTGCACTTTACATACTTTTTAAGTATGACTTTTATTCGTAGAAATTTTATCAGGTCTCATACAGGACCACTAACTAATGGTTTATTACACTACTAAACCAATGATCATAGGTTATAAGCTTTTAAAAAATTATTCTTTTAGTTTTTAATTTCAATTTTTACAAGTGCAAAAATTTCCTCACATGGAGAAATTTTTGTACTTGATCAGGATATTTTATTGTATTTTCCAATATTTTCCATATATTTTAAGGATATTTTTTCCAACGTAGGGAAAAGGGGGACTTAATCCCAACTTTCATTTAAAAACTTAATCTTTAGAATTATATCAGATACAAACTTTCTATAATTTTAAATTAACTAGTTAATCTGGAGTAGAATAGTTAAAAAATTTTTCTATAAATTTAATGAATTATTTATAGACTTACCATTTGTATATTCGGCAACACTTCGATTAGTTCCTAAATTATATATATTTTTTCTAAAATTAAAAAATATTTATTCAACAACACCTATTCCTAAATAGGTAAGAGATATTTATCTCAAACAGCAAAGTTGATGAGCAATTAGATTCAAAAATTTGACTAAGTAATGTAATTTGATAACCATCTTTTTAAATATAAAAAGAAAAATTTTTGAATGAAGAACCATGAACAAAAATATAAAGTTTATTAAAAATTAAGTTCATAAAAATACAAGCAAATATAAACTAATAACAAAAAAGGAGCAGTACATTTTTGTACTAACACCATCCACGTCAAATGAAGGTATTAATGAGCATAATATAATTAAAAATACACAAAATAGATTCATACTCAAATGTTTTCTTTTTGTGGCTCTGATAATTCAAATAAAGAAAAACCCTATAAATCAATACATTAGATTTAGAGGTAAAATAACTAGGTTTTCACCAGAGTATCAACCAATATTTGAGATCTAAAAGTTTACTAAAACCTTTCATAAAGAGGTTTCTAAATGGATAGAAACTTTTAAGCAATTATAACTAAGTTATAAGTGAACAGAAGTTTAAACTACCTCAATTATGAGCATATTTATAAGTCCGAAAATATATAAAATAATCACAAGTAAACGCATAGTATCCACAATGCTTGAACTATTAAAAGATTTTGTTTTTTTTTTGAGAATCACCACTTTGAACATAAAAGTTAACTTGATGGATTTAATATTACCAAACCCAAGTCTTTAACACATTATTTAAGGAATTTAGACACTAACACTAATAACTGAAAACGTGTTTAAAAAAACACCAAAAACTAGATAGGGGAAAGTTTAACATGTTCTATAAAGGACTATTGAACTGCCAAAAAGAAACAATTCGGGTATAAAATCGTAGAGTTATTGAAGAAGCGGTCAAAATTATAGAATGTATATCTTCATTTAAAAAGAATGATGCTGAAAAAGATAGAGAAAATATATCGCAAGATAACTAAGCTAATAAAGGTAATAACAAAACAAATAATAGACTCCATTATAAATACCATAAACGGGCCAACCATAATTTGAAAGATTGCACAAAATTTCAAACTTTTGTAGCTACTTAGAAGAAACAGACAAATCAAACATTGACGTTAAAAGAAATAAAGCCATTATTATCCCAAGTTACTATACAAGCACTTGTTAACAATCAGGAAACTTGTTTTACAATTAATATTGGATCATGTAAATCAATAATTTTTAAGCTAGAAGCTGAAAAAAATTGGTTTAAAAAGTACCAGAAATGATAAAATACAACAGATAAAAGTCGCGAATAATGATTTTATTTAAATTTCTTGAATACCGACTTTAAAATTATGCTTTTATGAATACATAAAGTCTGAATATGATGTTAAATTTCTAGTTACTGAGAAATTCGTTATTACCAACATACTTATATTAAAAATTTTGGAAAAATACAATGTCAACATTATACTTACTAAAAAACTCATATAATTCCCAGAATTTATAGTTAAATTTAATACTCCAATTACTTCACTTGATTTAGAACTTAGCGAAAGAGTTAAATTTATGACAATAAATATGGATTATATTGAAAATCATATTGGTGAATTTACAAAAAACTTACTTGAACTAGATGAAATCAATAATGTGGAGCATACTTTTTATTAAAAAAAATTTATATTTAAGCAAATATCATAAAAAAAAGCCATAGTCATATATTATCTTTATGTTTTTCTATTGAAAAGAAAAACAAAGATTTAAGGCTTGTAGTTGATTATAGGAAGTTAATATCGAAACTATTAAAGTTAATTATCCTATACCAGATCTTACTGATCAAGTTCGTACATTAAATAATTATAGAGTCTTTTCTACTCTAGATCTTTATTCTGGTTATTACCGAATTAAATTTAAAGAATAAGATGACCACAAGACTGTTTTTATAACTTAAAATAGAACATATAAATTTCTTAGGATATTTATGGGCTAACATGTTCATTTAGAATTTTTTAAAGAGCTATGAATATTCTCTTTAGTGATTTGAGTTTTGTTAAGGTGTACTTAGATGATATTCTAATTTTATATTCCTCAGAAGATGAGCATTTTTTAGATATAAAAAAAGCATTAAAAATTAAAAAATAATATTACTATTAATAAAGAGAATGTAGGTTTAATCAATATAAAATTGAAATTTAGGACATTTAATAGATCATGAAGGGATTAGACCAATTACTTCAAACCTTTTTAAAAGTATTGAATTTAAAATACTAAATACAAGAAAGCAAGTTCAAAAACTAGTTGGTTTTCTAAATTGTTTAAGAACTTTTGAAAAAATTTCTCTTCTAAGATCTCATCTATTATAATTCTAATTAGAAAAGATACATCTTTTAACTGGAAAAAAGAACACACAGAAATAGTAAATAATTTAATTTATGAAATTAGAAATGCTAACAAAACATATTATCTTGATATTTTAATATCTTTTGAACTGTACACTGATATATGTGATACAGGGATAAGAGCCGTGCTAAAACAGGATAAATAAATCTCAATATTCAGTAAATGTCTAAACACTGTTTAAAGAAACAATACCGTTTCTGAGAAAAAAACATTAGCTGTTGTTGAAGTCTTAAGTTACTTTAAAAACATAATATAAAATCTAAATTTATTTTTTTACTGATTATTTTAATCTGAAGTTTTTATACACTTCTAAATTACAACGAATTCAACTTTGGAGATAGTAGGTTGAAAAATTTGACGTTTAAGTCAAATACTTAAGAGTGATTTAAATACAACTGCTGATTATTTGTAGAAAATTTCTTTATAACTTTATCGTGTCCACACGGATAGTGGTGTTGTGAACTCAAAATGTTTCTTAATAAATTTATTTCTCATTTTCATATCCACCTTAATGATATTTAATTTATATACTCAAAAAGGAGAACTTAAAACACTTGTTTTAAGAACTAATAAATTTATTGATGCCAATTTTAAAAAATCTCGGTTATGATATAAATATTTTACAACTAAATAAATAAAATTAAAAAAGCTGTTTCTAATAATACATTTTTCGAGTATATTTTTAAAGAATTTTTGAAGATACTCAGTGTAAACAGTTATAAAAATTTATCAAACCATTTAATTTTTTATATTAATTACATTAGATCTATTAAACGGGAATAAAATTTATTGTTCAATATTCCATGGGATTCTATTCATTA